ATAAAATATTTTTTCCAATTATGGCACGTGATAACTCCGTCAGGGATATTCTTCGGAGAGCTCTGTTAGCTCTTCGTTCACGATGCGGACAAAAACGCTGAACACGAGCGAGCTCAGTTTTACGTCCTCTGTGTGTTGAGAATTTATGTCTGCGAAAAAATAAAGAAATAAAAAAATCTGAAAGCTTTCAGAGTTTATATTTTCCCATTATAAATTTATACACTAAAAGCTGAGCAAGAGTTCGAACAAAGTCTCTTATTTATTACAATGGACTAAAAAGTATTAGCCCAATTAATAAGTATAAAACCCACTTAGTACATTATGTACTTATAAAGCCCACTTATTATATTATGTAAAAGTATTATGTAACTATATTAAAGTACATTATGCAAACAAATTTTTGAAATCAATAATTTTTATTGACTCCTCTCAAAGTGATATTAGTATGTCTTCTTACAAATGCTTGAATTATTTTCTATCCAAATGTGAGGAAGCAACCTCCAACGTTTGTGAAAAAGCAAAGAACTGTATCCCGTGAAGAACATCAGTAAAACAAAAAGACGAAAGTAAAAGTCAGGTGGCCTCCATCAGTCGACGAAAAAGGTGAGTTTCTGGTTGAAAGTTCAAATCAGTGAACTGAAGAATCTAGTATGAGTAAAAAATGTTAAGGATGGAGAATGTCAGATGGATATTTGTCCTTTTCTCTTGAAAATGGAGAACATCTAAGAGAGTTGATGCAGTTGTTAGAATAAGTGAGAATTGAATAGAATAAATTTCTGGCAAGTTCTTGAATATAATCTTGAATTGTATCTACTTTGATATCACGGTGGATATACGAATTTGTAATGAACCATGGCGCGTTGATAATCTGTCTGAGTGCTTTGTTTTGAAGAACTTGGATGTGCTGAAGGTTAGTTTTGGCAGCGTGGCCCCAGACAGGACTAGCATAGAGTAATGCTGGTCGAAGTATAGATTTATAAGAGGAGTTTATTAGAAGCGGATATATGACTTTTGCCAAGAAGTGGGCGCATAGTTTCAAGCGTTAATTTTTTTCACAGTTTCCCTGAGATGTTTCTGAAAAGTCAATTCTTTATCAAGAATGACTCCTAGATATATAACTTCGTCAACCCAGTCAATTTCTTCATCAAACAGACAGAGTCGTAGCGCCCAGGGTAGTTTTCAGCGCCCAGGGACAACTGAAAATTTCGCGCCCCCTACTACTTGCCAAGGATGGAAAATATTTAATTCTAAAATGTCGTAACATCAGTTTGGCGCCCCTTGGATTCTGCGCCCGGGGACAGATGCTCCCCTCTAGTTACGACCCTGCAAACAGAAGAGGTGTTGGTGGAGTGAAATTTGTTTGGCCTTTGCGAAAAATTATTGCTTTTGATTTTTCGGTATTAACTGCAATCCTCCAAAGAATGAACCAATTTTCTAGATGATTAAGGTAATGTTGGAGAAGGAGCTGGACAACAGTAAAGGCCTTTTTACACAAGCGGAACTTTGAGTCTAAGAAATGCACGCGGAAGTTGCTAGCTTCACTAAATGGCGAAAATGTTACTTTTTTTTTTTTTTTAACTGAAACTGAATATGTACACATTTAAATAAACAGCCTAACTTATAACATTATTCAAGAGTTTAAGAGTTAAATATTCCCTCATAATACGAAAAAATTGCTGTTTAAAAGCTCTCAAACGAGTCTTCAAATTCCCCTGCGTTTCTTAAGCTCAAAGTTCCGCTAGTGTAAATGGGCCTTGACAGTAGAAGCTTGGATCGAAATTGCAGTATCATCAGCGAAAAGAGCAATGGTAATTTGTGGGTCCTTGAGTGTAGCATCTGATTTCGAGAGTATTAGTACTCTTATACCCGAGAACCTCTGTGAATGAGAGTAGAGTAGAATGTAATGTAACTGCGTAAATAGCGCATCGCTGCTGTCTTATGAGTTAGTTAGAAATAAATGTTTGTGCCGTGAACTAGTCTGTTTTGGTTGCGTCATGCACTTCACTGAACCCACACCGCTAGACACAAGTTGACGACGAGGCTGTGTGAGAAGCAAATCGTTCCCGACTCGGCGCACTCGGTTACATGCGTAAGTAGTAGCAAAACCGAAACTTGGATTAGGGGATTCACCGAAAATTGCAAAAGGTAGGAAAGTTATTTGATTTTTATTTTGGAAGGATGGAGAAGTTAATTGAAGAATTAATAAAGCAAAATGAAGCTTTAATGGTCGCATTGCAAGAGAAATCGGAACATAAACAAGACAAAATTTCTGTTCCTTTTGATAAGTTCGATGAAACGGTAGAAAATTTTGATTCGTTCATAGAACGATTTGAGGCTTTTTTGGACATTCAAAATGTTCCAGAGGCAAAACGTGGGAAAGTTCTGATCTCAAGCTTGAATGCAAAATTGTATAATTTGTTGAAAAATTTACTCTCTCCGGATAATCCTTCAGATAAAAATTTTACCAAACTAAAAAAGGTTCTTAAGGATCATTTAAATCCTAAAGCTTTAATAATACCTAGTCGGCACATGTTTATTAACAGAAAACAGCATGAGGGGGAATCAATTAGTAGTTATGTCACTGAATTACGCTCGTTAGCGATTCCTTGTGAATATAAAGAGGATATGCTAAATACAATGTTAAGGGATGTTTTCGTTAGCGGTCTACGAGATCGTAATATCTTAGATCGATTATTTCAGGAAGATGATTATCGATTTAGAGAAAACATTAAAGATAGCCTTGGCGATGGAAAAGGCGGTTAAGGGTGCAAATGAGATTATAGGAAATTCCGTAGAACTGAAGGTACTTAAAACCAAGAAAAATGAGTTCAAACCGCGGAAACAAAACTTTGTTGCTAAGAATAATAAAGGTAAAAATTAAACTTGCTCGCGTTGCTTAGGAGCAAATCACAATAAAAACAACTGTAGATTTGCAACAAGTGAATGCCGCTTTTGTAAAAAAATTGGACATATCGAAAAGGCGTGTTATTTGTCTTGAAAAAACCGACAGGTTAAACAAAAGAAAGTTGAGGCAAATAATGCTTATGATTCGAAAAATGAGGTCCCCATCTATGGATTTAAATGAACGCACATGTTAAGAGAGGAAGAGCCAAAAAGACCGCCAATGATGGTTCAAGTTAAAATTGAAAACAAACCAGTTAGCATGAAACTTGATATTGGGGGAACAGTTCGGTAATGTCTATAAATAAATTTAGAAAAAATTTCCAATAAAAAGATTCAGCCTACAAATTTAGTTTTTAAACTTACAGGGGTGATAAGGTGGTACCTTTAGGATATGTTCCTGTTAAAGTTCAATACCAAGGTCAAAAATTAGTTTTAAATCTATGCATGGTGAAGGAAAATTTGGACACAATCTTCGGCCGAGAATGGCTGTATAAAATCAATCTCGATTGGAATGCCATCAAACATTGAAAACTTCAAGTGAATTGAATTTAAAAAAATTGCTTGAGGAGTATAAGGAAATTTTTGACGGTAAATTAGGTGAAATTAACAATCACTAAGTAAAACTAAATTTGAAACCTAATACTCAACCAATATTTTGTAGGTCACGACCGGTACCTTTCGCATTAAAAAATAAAGTTGAATCAGAAATTGATCGGCTTGAGAAAGAAGGTATCATTGAGAGGGTTGAGACTTCAGAATGGGCAACACCAGTTGTGCCAATTGTTAAATCTGATGGTTCCATTAGGCTTTGTGCTGATTATTCTGTGACTCTGAATCCTAATTTGGAAGTGCCACAGCATCCATTAACAAAACTCGAAGAAATATTTTCATGCCTTAATGGAGGAAAATATTTTTCGAAACTTGATTTCAGTCATGCTTATCTACAAATGAAGGTGCATCCGGAGAGCCAACGGTTATTAACAATAAACACGCATAAGGGGTTGTATATTTGTAAACGCTTAATGTATGGATTAAATGCTTAATGTATGGATTAAATGCTAGACACAACATTGAGAATATTGTAAATGTAAATGTTATATAAATATGGAGAAATTACAGATTTTTGGTACTTCTTGGGGCACTCCAGCGAAACGTTTTCTCGTGGAAGAAACAGAACTACAATTTCCTCTGCAAAAATTCTGTCTTGGAGATAGGAAGCAATAAGTATAATACAATGATCGGGGAAGTTTAACTTGATAAGTTTGTATATAAGTCTCTAGTGCCATATCCTATCAAAATCTTTCGCAATATCAAGGAAAATGGCTCCGGTAGGGAACTTACAATTGAAACCTTCAGTAATATAGTTGATGACACGAAGCAGCTGGTGATTAGTACTGTGAAGATGACTGAAGCCAAACTGTTCTTCGGGAATGTAGGAGCTCTGAGGAATAATTTGATTAAGATGATATAGAATAACTTTTTCAGCTATTTTAGAAAGTTGACTGAGAAGGCTGATTGGGCTTTAGTTCTGGGGAAACGTTGAATTTTGATTTATTTTGGGAGGACGACGATGATGGCATGTTTCCATATATTAATAAAGTAAGAGAATTTGATGATAGAGTTGATTATCTTAGTAAGATAAGTGATGGCATTGATAGGAAGATCTTTAAAAGTTTTTTGTAGAAATACCATCAACACGTGGAGCTTTTTTGGGTTTTACGCTAATATAATCGGCAACCAACTTAGGCGTGGCAAGGAAAGTTCAAAGGTCCTGGGATTTTTAAGAAGGTATTAACAGTATCATTAACTTTTGAGATATGATTGTTATCCTAGGGGTAGTATTGGGAGTAAACGTTTCTTCTAGTATATCTGCAAATGTGTTAGCTTTATCTTCGTCTGAATAAATCATTCCTTTGGTACCATTATGTGGCGGAATTTGTTTGAAGGATTTCTTAAATTTCTTTGCAATGTCAAAAAGAGAATTATCTTCAGTTGCGAGAGAGTTGAGGAAGTTTCGCCAAAGTTGCGTCTTGAAACTATCTAATAATAAATTAAAAGGAAAATCAAAGTTTAAAAAAATAGTAACACAATTTTCATACTATATTTATGAACATATGCTACTGTGGAAGCTGGCAACTCTGATTTGAAATGTTTGTCAATAGCGCCTGTGACGGGAACAGTGTGGTTGTCTGGAAAACGTGTTTTATGTACTACTGTCTTTGTATCTCAATGTAAGTTGTTATTTTGGTTTTGTTAATGTTTCATGTGATTACAAGTTAGATTCAGTGACATTCAGAATAAAAAAATAGGAAGTAATGTTCTTTCAGTAAGTGAAGAATTTTAGAAATATCGCGAAGAATGTATCATTAGCATTGTTTTTTTTTTTTTTTTTTTTTTTTTTTTTGAATAAATTGATTAATAGTATATCTTAATATGTGAGCTACCACGTAAAATTATTTGCATGCGTTTGAGCGGAATTTGTTAATTTACCATTATTTAATAGTATGTAGATTTTAAGTGATTTTTTCTTATGTACATTTAACTGAATGCTTATGCAGAGAATAAAGACTTTTTAAGCGGTATTTTCTTTCGAATATTATGTTTGACTAATTCATATGACTACTGTTTATGTGACTCCATTTTGTGCGATAAAATGCCATTCCTTTTTAATGTTTTCGAGATGCATGAAAGCGAAATTGTATAAACAAATCACATGTTCAATATATCCCAAACTTAAGCTTGGCGACCCACTTCTGCATAGCTCTTTCTTATAAATCAGTCCAAATAGATTACATTTACTAAATGAATAGGAGAAAGATTTTCTGTAGAAAATAATAAGCATTGGAGGTATAATAATAAATGTGCATCTATAAATATTAACAGTTAATTATCAGTTCAAAATTGTTCTAATACTTTTTGTTTAATTCTGTTGATCTACTGGTGAGTCACAATCAACATTTTGGGAATCACTTTGTTAGTTGAAAGGTATTTATTGATAAAAAATTAAGTTGTTTTGTTCCATGAAGGTTAATGCTGCATTTCTTTGTTCATGGACTGTGTTAATTTTTCTTTCTTTGTAATTGCAAAAAATTTCCATTATTATATTTTGACGGAAATAACCATTTCCGAATCCATTCGGACAATTTTTTGCGTGATGGCTGTACGTATGCATAGAATAAAGTACTCCTTTTTGCAAAAATATATTTACAGGTGCCTCTTGGTGATTTTGACGGTATGTGGACACCGAGTTTGGGGCCTCACAAAGCCAAAATAGCAAGTCAAAAAAAATTTCACAAACTCGTTACCCATGTACACATCGACCTGTTTTCACTTAAAAAAACATCAGAGAATTGCAAAAACTGGGCCTTGCACACTCCCATGACTTTTTCCATGTACACATCAATCTGTTTTCACTTAAAAAATTGAAGAAGCACCTAATTCTACACTAGAGCCAAACAAAAAATATATAATCTCAATAAACTACATTTTAAATCAAATAGTAAAAAAAAAAAAAAAAAAAAGGGAATTCATCTTATGCCAACTAAGCACTACATAAAGAAAATATCCACTTACCTTATTTAGAAATTTCCATGTGAACTTTCCTCAAACTGTGTTCATTTTTTAATGGAACACTTTATGTTGTGAGTATTTGAACCTTTCTTGCGACAAAACCATTCAAAGCCATCTGAATGATCTTTATGTGTGACCATACGCATTCCCTTCATACAAACAGGACACTTATAATTCCGTTGAATTATGTCCAACAAAGTTTCCTTTCTTCTGTCCTCAACCACGACACTTTTCGCTGTCTGATTCTATACCACCAAACACCTACTTTACCACCGGCAGCCATTTTACAACGCACAGTATACAATGCCAGACGTACTTCCTAACATCCAGCAAATTATTTTCCCATCAGTCAAATTCACCACAATCATGCAACCAATCATAATAATCATATAATCTACTGAACACACACACATACATATGCGTATCTTTACGTATGCATAAACACACATACATATGCATATGCGGAAAGTATATCCTTTCATATTTTTAATTCTAGCTTTTTAGTGCTAAGTTTGGAAAATTAAAAAAATATTCATGTGATTTTTCCCTTCCTAAATGCATTCAGAAAACAAGCTTAAAATTTTAAAATGAAATTCGTCCACATAGTGATTTTCATCTTACCAATAATGATAAACCCATTCAAACTATCTTCAGAGATAAAGCTGAACCTTTCTCTTCTAACTGTTGAACTTTATGGAAGCCTAATATAGAAATTGATAAATCACAAAAAAGAAAATACAAACTGACATTCGGTCTACAATTTAGGTAAATCAGTTGGAACATTCACATTCTGCGATTGTTTATGGATGATTTGAAGCCATGACAGTAGATGAGAGAACAATAAGAACAGGCAAGATTCAAGTTACAGAGAAGTAGAAATAAAAACATCTTATTAGTCACTGTAATGCTAACATTATTATATATTCATATCGAAATGGAGTTTTCTTTTAACGAAAAAGTATTGTGATATCTGCCAGTAGTTTATTCATGACTAATTTTTATTTGTTGTTGTCTTACTATAGCCTCATCTTTCGAAAATTAAATTACCTGCATAATTTTCGCCTTTCGATATTCGAACAATAAAATTAGGGATCGAGTAGACCTTAAGGTACCCCTTGTATTATGGCGAAGTTGTTGTTTGATTTATCACCAAGTTGTTGTTTCATTTATGGAATCCTGAGTAGTTGAATGTTATGAAAACCCTATTGTGATGTAATCGGGTGCATGATTCTGGGAAATTTTGAATCATAGGATGTTTTGTAAGCGTTTTTGTGGTGTGTGTTGGTTTGATTACTTAGGCGGTAGAATGGCCGAATGTAGTAAGATTAATTTGAAGTTTCTGTACGATTTGGAGCGAAAGGGGAAAAGAGCTTTAATTAACTGGTGTATAAATGAAGGTTTACTTAGTAACCATTATAAGTGTCCTGTATGTAGGAAGGATATGCATCTAGTAGAACATAAAAACCATTTAGATGGATTTGAATGGGTTGTAGGAAGAAAGGTTCATATAGTCACTATGAGAAGCGTTCGATCAGAAAGAGTATGTGGTTTGAAAAAAGTCATTTGAGTATGATTGATGTTTTGATTTTTATGTGGCTCTGGGTGTACGAAGCGAACTCGAAAATCATGGTAAGTGAATATTTGCTTTTGGTAGTGCTTAAATGTATAACATGTTTTTCCTCTTTTATGTTTTATTTTTTGGTTTAAAATGTATTTTATTGAGATTACGCATTTTTTGTTTGCCTATTTTGTAGAATTTGGTGCTCCTTTGACTTTTTAAGTGAAAATATATCGATGTGTACATGGACAAAGTAAACGGAGTGCGCATGCAAGTTTGAGCAATTTGGGGATTTTTTTTTAAAGTGAAAATAGGTCGACGTGTACATGGATAAAGTTAAAAGAGTGCGCAATGCTATTTTTGTACAATTCGGGGATTTTTTTTTAAGTGAAAATAGGTCGACCGTGTACATGGATAAAGTCAAAGGTGTGCACAATGCCATTTTTGTGCAATCCGGGGATTTTTTTTAAGTGAAAATAAGTCGATGTCTACATGGATACCGAATTTGTACAATTGTTTGTCTTGTTATTTTGGCTTTGTGTAGCGGCGCAAAAATCGCCGCTTCGCAAGCCAAAATAACGAGTCAAAGAATTGCACAAAATCGGTATCCATGTACCGCCAAAAATCGCCAAGTTTCACCAATGGGTACCCTAAACTATACTTTTACCAAAATTAGTAAAATAAGAGGAGAAATATGTGATGAAATAAGGTATATATATATATATGTAAGACATAAAGTAAGAAATTTAGAACTGATGTTTCATAAAGACAAAAATTTTTTAAATTCATAATAAATTTCAATTAATCTTATAAATGCAACAAAGAATTTAATAAACATAAAAACCAAAACTTTTAAACAACAATACCCCAATTGTTTTTAAAAAAAACTGTTTTGTAAATACAGGACTTAAAAGAGAAGGGCTAGCTCATAGAGCTTTTCCCCCTGAAGCAGAAAGTGAGAAGTGATGACGTAGTCATGATGACACTCAGTGCGCAGATGCAATTCACAGCTTGAACATTAGCGATTTTGAACCAGCGTTTGAAATGAGCTGTGTGTGAAAGATAGCTATAATTTGGAAGAGACAATGTAACTGCTTTATGCATTTTAGACTAAACTATTAAAAAATTTAATAATACTTACTCAATTTTAAAATAATAGATAAAATGTGCTACTCTTTTAACATAAAGTTCTGTGGTTTTTTTTCAATTTTTATTTGCAGGTTTTTTATTTAATGAATGTTTATTTCTAATCATTTCTTTATCTGCATGTGAACTGAGAGAATTTTTATACTGCTTCTAAGGTAACTATAATAGCAGCTATTTAAATTTACTCAAAAAACAATTTTACATTGACAGTTTTAAACATATATGGCAACATTTCTGCTAACCTACGTTTGATTTTTTGCCTAATTGTAAATTTTACATTGTTATAATTCTCTTCCGATTCAATATAATAATAGATATTTTTAAAATAATTTTGTAATTTATACTTATATCTATATAACAATTAAATAAATGTATATAAGATTGTTACCTTAATTTTGACAAAATAGCTTTACTCAGAGTACCTAATACAGTTATTTAATTTTTCAAAAGTGTGAGTAAAGGAAGCAAGTCTTCTTATGCCAATTACTTTAATGATTTATACTATTATATTTTATCTAGAATGTTAATTTAGCACAAAATCTAATCAATAATTAGTTACAAAGGATACAATAAGAATAACTTTAACAGGTACTTAACAAAATTAATATGTTAAATACATGTTATTCTTGTTGGTACTATTCATAATACCGAAGATATTATCGATTAACTCGTAGAAGTCAGATGCTTTTTGATTTCCTGTGGGGTGGAGTATACCTTTTGCGGTACTTTTTGAAAATAATGTTTTCTCTGGAGCGACTTTTTGTCTCTCATTTCCCTTGACCATTAAATAATTCGGTTTTAGTTTGTGACACAATTTGATTTCTTCTCAATCTCTATTTAAAACCTCTTTAATAATAACAAAATTTAAAACAGTTCCATCTTTCTAAAACAAATCCTTTATCTAAAACGTGGTTTCTCAGTAATTTGAGGCAGAGTGCGAAATGAGACCTCTGATTAAAACAAACTGCACGTTTTCAAAAGAACAGAACTTGGTAAAGTTTAGAGTGATAGCAGAGTTTTCAATCTATATGCATTTTATCGAAACTGAGAACGCATATTTTTTCTACAGAATACGAATATTCGCCTCTTTCCTTCTTTAGAGTAAGAACATCACTTTGAATTCTTGGACTACACTAAAATTTAGTGCACCATTTCTTTAATTTACCAATACTAGATAAAGATATTCCAGTTTTTTTCTTAATTTTTTTTCTTTCTGAAAATCATAGCTTTAAGATGACAGAGCTCTTATGGCAATGCAACGTGAAATATCTTCACTAGTCCACCTGATTTTTTCCTTCTTTTTCAGTAATACATTAATCTGCGTCTTTATAAAAATAGGCTTTAGACATTTTTTCAAATTCTCCGATTTGTTCCTACCCCCCCCAATTTCAATATTTGAGATTTTAATTTCTGATACTAATTTCTGTCTAGATGTCGTCCACCTTCTTTGCCACTGAACAAACATTCTAAAATTTTTCTTTTCTCTATTTTTCAATACTTTAATACAATTTTCTAAGGATATTATGTGGTTCTTCAAATTATCAATGCATTCTTGTTTATCCTTAAACTTAGGGCATTCTGGAATATCTATATTTGTGAGTTTTATTTCAAAATCATTAAAATTTGATTTACTATTGTCATCATCAATTTCGATTTATTATTGTCATCATAATTTACTTTCTACACAGCATTCCATTTCAACAGTTTCTTTTTGTGACTATCCAAACAAGCGATTTTTCATATCATCTTCATAAACCTGCATAGAAAATGTTCGCTGCAGATTTTTCTGCTCTTCACATTAATAGAATCTTGTCTTTGACATTTGTGTATCCATTCTTTCGTCAAAAGCAAAACCTCATTTGGATCCTTTGGTCCCATGAAATAAAATTTCTCATCCTTTCGTACTTCTGTAAGTGCTACGGCAAGTTAATACAGCGCAAAAAGCCATATTACCTAAATGGTACTTTACAATATAGAATTTAAAATAAAAACTGACTAAAATTACATATATATAAATTATTTTAAATATATACATTATTAGAAAACAGATATATATATGATTAAAATTAATTTGGGATATGTAACCTCTAGAAAATCGTCTCGCAGCTGAATGAAACTACAGTTTTAAACGCGGGAAATCAGAACAGGTGGCATCACAGTAACGTCAGATTACTGCCTGTTAATTTTCTCCATTAGGCTCGCGTCGGCGAGGAGTCGAACAAAGAAATGAGCTAGCCCTTTCTATTTATCCCTGTTGTAAATATGTATATATGGTGTGTGTTTGTAACTCTATCTATATATACAACTTTTTTTTTGTAAAAAAATTGAAGTACCGTGAAGGACGTGGCTGTTTTTTGATGAAATTGAATATGTGTCTAGCTTATACATAGATTAAAATGATTAAAAAAATCTTAGTACCTGTTCACGGCTCACAATCACCCATTAGTATTCAAATTAGTAGTTGGTCGAACTGCCCCTGGCGGCAATGCATGTTAAAATTCGTCGAGGCAAGGAGTGGTAGAGGTTCGTAATGTCTTGTGACACATACTGTCAAGCATTCATCAGTTGTCGCTCCAGATCTGTGATATTTTGTGGTGCCTGAATCTGATGGCCTACTATGCCTCAGACATGCTCGACTGGTGAAAAGTCTGGTGACCTTGCTAGCCAAGGAAGAGTATCAACCGCTCGGAGACAATCCAGAGATATACGAGCGGTATGTGGCCTGGCATTATTTTGTTGGAAAATAGTCCCAGGCTGACGTGCCATGAAGGGTAATGCAACAGGCCGCAGGATGGTATCAACATTTCGTTGAGCTATTAAAGATGTACGGAGGATGACTAAAGATGACTTGCTGTTATAAGAAGTAGTGCCCCACACTGTCACACCAGGGGTTATAGCTGTATGCCTTTGTAAAACAAAGGCTGATTCGAGGCTGGCCTCGTCCTCTTCAGACACGAACGCGGTGGTCATCTGTTTCTCGTGATGAAGTGAAGCGAGATTCATTGCTGAACACTATACGATGGCAGTATGATGGCAGCCATGATGATCAGCTGCCATACCACTCCAGATGACTCTGCCGATGTTGTGGGGTCAAAGGCAAACATCTTAGAGGCCTCTGTGAGCATAACCCAGCCTCAGACAAGTGCCGTGAAATGGTGGACGGTACCACGGGAGGTACAGACGTGGATGTAGTGCGTTGAATAGTAGATAATGATACCGTTGGGGCGGTTCGGGCCTGGAGAACAATCATCCTATCTTGCCTTGCATTTGTGGTCCTTGGCAATTCCAGAGCCTTCATTTCGTGCATAATTTCCAAGTAGCAACCATTGCTGCCAACATCTTTGCACAGCAGTGTCTGTATGCTGCAGGTGGCAACCTATTGCTCGGTACGACCTCCTAGCTTCACACAACCCTACAATGCGACCATGTTCAAAGTCATTTAGTTGTCTGTAAGGTATTTGATATTGTCATAATGGCGTCTTTATTTGCTTCTTTAGAGAATTACAAAGCCAGAAACAAAAAAAGATAAATTTTCCGCCTCTATTACTGGTTTTATACTTTGCGAATTGTGCACTAGAAATGTGCGCTATGATTGCAATTCCTTTCATTTGCCTTGAAACTTTGATCATTTGCATGTTTGATCAAGATGTTTTTGCATGCCAAATTTTGTTACAATTGCAAAAGTTCTTCTTGGTGCTTCGATTGCAAAAGAGTGTATGTAGTGTGTGTATATTTCTGTCTCGCTTTCACTATATATAGATACACGTACACTAAACAAATCTAACCTTTTTTTATTATTATAGACAATCGTTATGACCACAAGTAATGAAATTACACTGGATCACATTAAGTCATTCTTTTCCTTGGATGATAAACTTGAAGAATTATATGTAGCTCCTACTGCTACAGGTGGTGTAGGCATTGATAATATTGATAAATTTCCACCTCCACTTCCTCCTTCAAAATGGTAAGTAGCCTTTTAAAGAACACTCATGCATATTTTGTAATGTAAAATGAGTAAATCTGCTTTATTATGGTATTGCTTCTAAATAATTTGTCTTAGAGTAAACTTCGTAATATCAACTTTTTCTGAGTTTTTCTTCCTGTACAAGACATGCTAGTTGCAAACACTGGTGTTTGTCCTGGTATGATTTTTAGCAGCAAAATATTTTGTGTATATGAAATTTTTATAGGGATATTTACTGCAGCATAAAAATAGAAAAGGGGGGCATACTGTGACTTAATGGATAAAACTGTTGACTTCTGCTAGTTCATCACAGTTTCAGATGAGTACATTGACTACTATACACCACAAACTGAAACTTTTTTCATTTTTGTAATTTTCCTGTTGTGGAACATGACTGTGAGTCGTTTTTTCTAAGAAAGTCCTCTATAAAGCCGTTCTGAGACAGCCCTCACATAATATGCCATAATCTGTTAAACAACAATAGCAGAAATACATTTTCTCATTGAGGGAGCTATTTTAAAATAAAAGTTTGCAGTTTCTTCTCTGTTATAAACTTCTATATAATATACCTAGTTCAGGCAGATATTTGTATGGGAATTGTTTTCAATGTTATACAAATTGTTTGCTATAATTCATACTTATGTATTTTCCTGTTGACTGTGAAAGTTTATGAAGATTCCACTAAAACTGTGCTAATAATTCCTTTGGAAGTTTTAATGACCAGATTACTCATTAATTGGTTAAATAATCACAAATTGCTCTTTATTTAATTAGATACTGTGTAGATACATACATGCAACATATATTCATGTCATACACATATAAAACTGTCTAAGTTTATCATATATATATGTATAAAACTTTCATATGTATATAAAATATATATAGCTAATTAAATAAAGAGCAATCTGTGATGTATATATGATATATACAGTCAAAAGTCTTTAATCCGGACTCGTCGGGACTTCGGCGATTCCGTATTGTAGATCATCAGATCTGGTAAGATGGCATGCAGAAATTATAAAATTAAAAATATGAAACCATAATTTATGAAATGAAGAGCAATTATGATCTAAAGGCTATCAAAATTTTCCAAAAAAAAAGCTTTATATTTATTTGTTTACTTTATTAAACATTTCTTTCAGCGCGTGCATACGTAAAGCATATATTACGCATAGTCGAAATTAGAAAATTGCAACCAGAAAACTATTTGATTTGTATTCGTGATGTTTATAATGACGAGGAATTTGATTTAAATCATATCAAAGACTGAGTACATTGAGATGAAATACTACATTATAAGCCGAATAAAATAAAAACATCTGCCCTGAAGATAAGGATAGTGCTGACAGATCAACTTCCAGTTCATTGTGCGCCGCGACGTCCCCCCCCCCCCTTGCGCAGAGCAGCGAGAAATTGATAAACAGATTTTGGAATGGTTAGAGAAACAATGGAGCCTTTATCCATTTTTTGCAGCAATTCCACTTTTTGTTTGATCGACATCGAAACATGCTTTCTGTTTGTAGATCCAGGATCGGAAATTCTATTTGACATAATCGAAAGTTCCAACTTACTTTTATAAAATTACTCTAAGAGTCTGCAAAAAATAATAAGCTGGTTCCAATTCGAAGATTAAGGAACAACGCACTCTGCAACATTAACTGAAATAGATAATTAGATAATTTTAGCTTAGCTTGTACCGTCCGTTGCGTTTAGTGCATAACGGACGGTATAAGCTAAGCTAAAATTATGCGCATGCATAAAGGCATTACGCTGAAGCATGCGCAGAAAGTTTGTATCTTTGAGGTCTGGATTATGGGTGTACGGATTAACGACTTTTGACTGTATATGTTTAAAAAAGTTAAGTAAAGTTATATATATATATATGATATATATATATATAAAACATATATATATGTAGTGGGAGTTGAAGATGCTAAATAACAATTCCAACGTTTTCCACATCACAGAACATTTAATAAAGAAAATCAGAAGGTACAGATTGAATTAAATACAAGTGCCGTTTGATACAAACTGGATTCTGTATAGCTTTTGCCAGTCTTATCACATAACTGATTAGTGCCTACTCGCACTTGCTGATGTATTATACAGTCAATTTACCACCTTCGCTTGGAAAACTACAGTTCCTTATTCTACACCTTCACGTGTAGTCATTAGACTACCTTTGTGTGGGATAGAAGAAGGTCTCTGTCCATCTGTCGTACTCCCCTTTCACCTCACTCTCGCTGCTGGCGCATGGGTGAGGCCCTCTAGTGGTTGTGTCGCACTTACGGATACCACATATATCATATATATATATAAAACTTTTAAGTAGTCATATGTATATAAAACTTTCTAAGAGTTATATATATATATATGGAATATCCATTGATATATATATATATAAATTTGAGTTCAGTAATGTCCTTCGGACACTGCTGTGTATTTGCTTCACATGGCAATTCCTAATAGAAATTTCCAAGCATATGAAAACTTAAGTAACTATGAGCTCAAGTTTGGAGATTTTTTTACGAAGAATTTCAGTGAAACTAGTAGCATTATTCTGATGATTAAAAATTCATAATGAAGTAAAAATAACAGCAGAACTGTCACTTTCTTTACAAATTCAATGCTGCATCAGTCTTTTGTTGTGATATTTTGACGAATTCGACAGCCCTTTAATGTTTCAAATATGTACATCGATCTAACAGTCTCACAACTTTAAAAATAATCTATTTGCTATTCTGTAAAAAGCAGATCTTAAGTTTTGTTTATTTTTTCAAAATATAAGGGAAAAATAGAGGATAGTAGTTTATTTATAATTTCCTTACAAAACCTAATCTGACTTCTGAATCTGAAGGTCAGGCTTACATAATGTTCTTATGCAAGTTCCATTTTTTGATAAAAATTGGTGAATTATGGGTAAATGATAAATAGGGTAAAAAATTATCATGGTGTAAATTTAGGCAATTGTTAATGCCGTGTGGAATTTATTAATGTTTGTGTGACATTTAAAGAATTACTTGTTAGATCAATATTTTCTTACATGTGCTGTAAGACTTTTAACTTGAAACATTGTTAATCATAAATCAAATGCAGCTTTAAATATTGATCTGAAAATTTATATTGTCATTTTATAAAATAATTATTTATAATAGAAAATATGTTGCTTAAAAGGTCTAGGTCCAAAGTTGGATTATTTTTAATGGTTAAAATGTGTATTTTTATATAGCTGTAACAGTTATTTAAATTCAATTTTTAATGCTTCCTTTTCAAGTTTTGTGAACATTACTATTAAAATTCTGCATTTTATTGTAATAAATAGTTGTTAAATAAATAGTTTTTTTTCGGTTTAATAAGTTACATATTTAACGTAAATTAATGTTTTTTCTAGTTATCGGAAAAAAGGAACAGATTATGCCAAAAAGTATCTGGAAAAAGAAGAAAATGTATGTATTTATTTCATTCATGTCTGTTTATTTTTATTTAAACCAAGAGGTTGTCATAAAATATGTTAGATAATGCTTTGGATAATATCAGCTTTTTATATTTTGTACTTTATTTTTTTTTATAAATGTTGATATATGAAGATTTTTCAATAATGCTGATAATGAAGATATCAGTTTTCAATAATGAAGATTTTTCAATATACTTCCTAAGCCTACTAAAACATATTTAAAAATAAACATTTAAACTGAGAGAGTTGATTTTTAATATAATAATTATTAGGCAGTTAACAGTTTAGCAAGAAAATTTGGTACTTTTCCGTTTTGCCAGAGCAGGCGATAAAGTCACCAATAAAGGTACAACTGATGCCAAACGGAATATTCCTCGGTGGTAACCTTTTACTCCTCATTTTCAAAATGAGTCGCAGCCATTTCTAATCAGATTGATTGTTTCTTTCAATACTGGCATACAATTACATATAATTTTTACCAGACAGTTCAATTTTATGCCCTAAGGCCATTCGCGGCCGGTAAATTAAGTAGGATATTTTTACACCGCTCACCCGATGGTGAAAATATAAAAAAGGCAAAGTCGAGGGCTTATATTCCAAATTAAGATTTAACTTGAAATTAATGTAGATAATTGAGATAATTAGATTTTTGTAGCGTAGTTTATGTGAGATGAGATCACTTGGGGTCACATGATATGAACTGGCGAATCGGGATGTTGTACCATGAAAGCATAGTAAGTTCTTAAATTAATGTCTTTTTACAAATTTATTGTCTTTTTTTTTTTTTTTTTTTTTGCTTTTTTTTTTTATAAAATTTTAAACAACATTAAAAATAAATAATTCTTGGAACATGTCAACATTTGTTATGTATATACTGTGTGTTGTGTCCAATAAAGTCTGCTTGGCTAGATTTGCGCCAGCGAAACGGAAAAGTACCGAAAATGTTAATGCAGTGAGAAACGTACATTTGTTGGCTTTCTCTCTTCAAAAAGGAAAATAAAGCTAAATAATTAAAAATGATTTTTCACTTTAAGTAATTTACATTATTGCATTTGAGTTATAATTTATTAAGAAATTTTTCAGTCTGTGCCAAAGTCTAATCTTAAAATTGTTATGTTGAAGTTTTGTTTAAATTCAAGAAATTCTTCAAATTAATATAAAATATAGTACTTCAACTTTACTTTAACACTTTCGCTGCCGGTCATATGAGATTGTATTGATAGTTAATGCTGTGTCATAGAAATAGATTGTAGCCGTGTGTCAACTTACTTATTGTGAGAAACATGATTTAAATTGATGTAATAAAAGATTATTTTGTGCACCACTTGATTACTAAGCCTTTAAGCATAGAATTTTATTACTACGTGCCAGCATGTGATCAGCACTAGAGGTAAAATTACTTCTGTAATGCTGCATTATGTGCTGGTGCATGCATTTAAAAGTAAATAAAAAAAGTAACAATATGCATTATTTTGGTATGAAACTATGTCATAAACAATATATATATATTATAAATGAATTTACTACAGGATAGTTACAATTATATTATTGCAAACAATAATGTAACAATGCAAAGCAGATATTTAGCAGATATAAAGCTGTTTATGATGCCATAAAAGTAAATGGAGATGAGATGAATATTACATCTGTGTGTTGTGTATTTTGGGTCAGTTTCATTAAATTCTACATGTAACTTCTTGAAAAATCATCATTTTTGTGATTTTTCTTCAATTAATGATAACCAGTATATTATAATTCCTGATATGTTATATGTCAGATCTGCTCTTGGTGCATATCATCAAACTAAGAGAAGATAAAAAGCTATGTGATACTCAAGATTTAAAAAAAAAAAAAAAAAAAAAAAAAAAAAAAAAAAAAAAAAACCCATTAAAATAAGCACAGATTAAAATTTTGAAATAAAAAAAAAATTGAGGATTGATATTTCTTCAGTTGACTTGTAAATTGCAGAATTAAAACAAGAAATCTGGATTTGTGCTAATTTTTTATTAGCATTTTTTTCTGTTAACTTTTTTGTTTAAATATTCTAAATGTCTTTTTTTGAGCCTTCAATTCTAATAAAAAATTACAGTTAATTTTCTTATATTAAAAGTTTTTCATCAAAAGTCTATTAACTTCTTTAAAAAACTGCTTTTTTGACATTTTGACTTTTTTGTATTATTAATACAAGCATATACACAGTCCAGTCACATTAATGTGACCACCACGTACTTTCCATGTCAGAGTTAAATAACCAATCACAGAAGGCAGGTGGCAGCACAGTGCAGTTGAGCGTATATAAAGGGTGTGTGAGGGCTTCGGAAAACATTTCAATCGTTGGCGTAATGCAGAAACGAAGCGATTTATCCGACTTCCAAAAGGGCATGATTATTGGCTTTCGGGCCAAGGGTGGAAGCATTTCCGAAACGGCTGAGTTTGTGAACTGTTCGCGTCCCGCCGTGGTAAAAGTGTACCGTGCATGGCAAAATGGGACTGTCCAAAATCAGCGACGTGGCAAATGTGGTGCACCACGGGCCATAGATGACAGAGGCGAACGACGGTTTGCGGAGATGCGTTCGGGCAGATAGACGGGCTACCGTTGAGCAACTGACCACCAAAATGAACCAAGGGGCTACCAAAAGTGTCTCCCAAAGTACTATTCAGCGAACATTGCTGCGTCTGGGCCTCCGAAGCAGACGCCTGGTTCGTGCACCTATGCTGACTGCTGTTCATCGACGGCGAAGGCTAGAATTTGCACGCCAGTACAGCAGCTTGACGTCCACTGAGTGGCGACAGGTTGCGTTTTCGGATGAATCGCGTTTTATGCTCCATCGGACAGATGGACGTTGGCGTATAAGGCGTGAAACCTCTGAAAGGAACCACCCTGCAACCATTGCCGGAACGGTCCAAGCTGGAGGCGGGAGCATTATGGTCTGGGGAATGTTTTCCTGGCATTCTCTAGGTTCACTGATCATTGTGGAAGGCACAATGGATCAATACAAGTACGCATCTGTCCTTGCAGACCATGTTCACCTCTACATGCGCATTGTTTTTCCTCAGGATGATGGCATCTTCCAGCAGGACAATGCGAGGTGCCATACAGCTGCCAGTGTACGTGCGTGGTTCGAAGAGCACCAGGATGAGTTTACCGTCCTCCCCTGGCCAGCAAACTCACCTGACTTAAACCCAATCGAGCATCTGTGGGACCATCTCGATCGAGTTGTTCGCGCCATGGATCCTCAACCGCGTAATCTAGCGCAGCTGGCCACGGCATTAGAGTCGGCATGGCTCAACATCCCAGAGAACACCTTCAGGGACCTATGTGACTCTCTTCCTGCACGTCTCGCAGCAGTCCGCTCTGCGAAAGGTGGTTATTCTGGCTTTTGACAGATGGTCACATTAATGTGACTGGACTGTGTATTAAATTAAAGAATAAGATTATAAACATATAAATATAAGATTATATATGCATATATAAAATCTTACATTTAATATATGCTTATATTAAAAGCTTTTTATCAAAAGTCAGACCTCTTAAAAAAACTGCTTTTTTGACATTCTTTAATTTAGCTGCTGTCATAATACTGTTACAGAGGTAATAGTTTGGCAGTTATGTATTATTTAATAGGATAGATATGACTGCTCTCTCATTGCTATTTTTTAAATAATCACTTCCATTCCAGAATTTATTTGTAATAGTTTTTAAAATAATAAAGATGGCATTTATTACATAATTTTATAACAATTAATGATAGAAAAATTCTAGTGTTTAAAAGTTTATACATAGCATTGAAAAGTCAATGAATTTCATTTCTGATTTTGTTTGTTATTTTGATGAATGAATTATAAGCATTTAATTTCTTTTTTAAGTGTGTGTTTTTATACATGTAAAATTAATTTTTTGTTTTAATTATATATTTGTGTTGATATTTTATTATTTCACTGCAAATATTTCAGATGCACTAACAGTTATTTCTGGTATATTATATACTCTTTTCTTGTAATTAAAAAAGGCAGTTTATTTGGACTAGCTAGTTTTGTGATACAAATGATTGTTGAAGACAATGTTGTTTTGGTATGTAAATATTGTATACAGTACGAAGTCTGAGATCCGTACTTCAAATATTTGTATTGATCTAAAATCCTGACCTTAAAGCCATCAAAAAAAATTTCTTTTAGGAATTTATTTTCTATGTTTTAGGCATGTGTGTTTGAATTTTTTTCCCATAAGAAAACGTGGAGAATCCCGTTTCTTAATTTCACTTTGGCACTAAGTCAAATACCTTCGTTATTGAAGAAAAAGGATTGCATAAATTTGTGTGATTGAGTAATTTTGCTCCATAGCTGCATATTTGCTTGGCATACATCTCAAACTGAAATATGCTACGTAGAAACGTTCACAACTACTAATATTTTATATCCCTGATGCCAACCTGCCGAAACATTATTTATTATATATTTTTCATCACCGCATTTTGCCAAAACATGACAAATTGAGGAATGACTTGTGTAGCATTAAACAATTTTTAATATTAGTAATTGAATAACAAGGGTATGGAAACCTTTTATGTTGACATTGCACTTGGTGATGATTACAGATTTAAGTTAAATGTGCTAAATGTTGACAAGAAAAAAAATTTCAAAAATTTCTTTCCATATCCTAAAAATAGATTTTGTTAATGATACTCATAGGCCAAAAGATTACATTTAGTGCTATTTGAATTAAGAATAACTGATTTTTTTATTCACATAAACCCAGAACCGGCATCAGAGCTCATGTGGCTGCACCGGGTGGCAGAATTTAGGGAAGACAAAATTTTTGGAATTTAGAGAATCACTGAGTCACAACATTAAGGGATGATAAAATTTTTAGAATTTAGAGAAAACACTGGAACCAAAAATTAAGGCACAGCAAAAATTTAGAACTTAGACAAGCGCTTGGTAGCAGAATCTGGGACCCACAGAGACTGCATAAGGCAGTAAAATATGTAGAGC